ATTAAAAAAGGACTTATATAGCTGAAGTTCCTCGGAAAAATTTACACTGGAAATTAACAAATGAGCAGATACGTAACAATAGGACAGTCCTCAGCCTTAGTCTAATATGCTACCATGAATGAAGGAGTAATAAACAAAAGCCAATATTAACAAGTCAAAATAGCAGAAGATATTTTATAACAATGAAATTAAACCAAAAGTCAAGCTGGAAATCAGCAACCTTTTGACTATCTCACACCCCCCTATTAAAATCATTATCTTAAAGAATCTCATAAAAATCTGTGTATGTTTATTGAATTAAAAAAAATCTTCTAATTAAAATGGGGGGGGGGGAGATGACACATGGAATGACCATGGGCACTTGCACATGAACACAGCACTGCATGACTTCAGACATATTGTTTCTAAGCCTGTTTTTGCTTTTTGTTCCTTCTTCCCAACATGGATCAGGTAGTCACACTTTTGTCTTTCACTATTTGGATTTCACAGATACGTGTCTTTTGTTTTCTCTTTCTACAACTAGTTTTTGCTGAATCTCAGGCTCCCTTGTTGAATGATCCTCTTTCACCTTATTTTTTCCTTTAAGTTTAGGGATTCCTCTTTTTTTGTTCCTTTTTAATTCTCTACATTTACTTGCCTTCATGTCTTACTTAACTTCTTTGTTTGTTCTCTTGTTTCATCTTCATTTGCAGGCTTAATTTCCATCATAACCTGTCTTACTTAACTTCTTTGTTTGTTCTCTTGTTTCATCTTCATTTGCAGGCTTAATTTCCATCATAACCCGTCTTACTTAACTTCTTTGTTTGTTCTCTTGTTTCATCTTCATTTGCAAGCTTAATTTCCATCATAACCCTATTAGCTTGAATGGAGAAACTTACATGTACCTGTTGTTGTTTTTTTCCACCTTGTCCTCAGTTTTCTTCTATTTGTTCCAATTATCATGGTTTCTTTATTTTCTGGGGTGTCCTGTGTCAGAATGCCTTACTTTCTGACTTTCACCTCCCTCAATCTCCTCTCCAGGACCTCTGTCTTACACCTTTTCTTTGTGATGTGTTTTTGTGGGGGTATTTCTTGCAAGTTGGGATTTGTGAGCTGATGCAGCTCTTTAGCAGTTATCTATTCTCAGTTTGGTTTCTTGCCCTTGGAACCAGGGGGCTCCATTGTGTTTTTTTTTCATTGTATACAGCCTTGTGGGGTCACTTCTCCTTTTCTTCCTTGTCCTCTTGTCACCATTCATGGTTCCTGCCTTTTTGAGGGTTGGTTGTTACAGGTCTTGAAGGCTATTAGTTTGTAGAGAAACCCCTCAGCTCTTGTTCTGTAGGAGATCTACTCTCCCACTTTTGTCTACTGGTGGATTGCCTTAGCTTACAACCTATTGAGTTTTTCATGTGCTTTCTCAGGGATTTTTCTAGCACTTATACTCACCACCTCACCTGTTTCAAATGTCATGAGACAATTCATCAACCCCCACTCTGGGGTTTTACTCCTATCTTTTTATCATTCCCACAAAGATGGAAGATTGTTGGATATATTAATGTGTTCCATGTGACCCAATGTTGGTCTTTCCTTGGTTCCTGATATGTAGTTTTTCATCCTCTGCTGGATACTCTCCTTGGTGGTTGATGACCCAATTCAAAGTTTCACACATTTTCTCCACATCCTGATTTGTCTGCCTGCCTTTTTCTTCCTTCAGTTCATCTGGAATAGTAAAAAACTGGTTCTCAATCTTTCTATTCAATTTTAATACAGTCCCATCTATTTTTTGAGGCCTATTATTCTACTACTTTATGGATGTTTGTCCATACTTGTTCCTTCCAACAGGGTTTTCTCTATTGTAACCTCCCTTCTCCTTCAGGAATTGTCTCATTTGTGAAGGCTGATTTGGCTCTCCATTTCAGTCTCAACCCCACTCTGTATTTCCTTCACTTAGGGGTCTCTCACTTTGTATGCAGGGCAGGCTCAGCTTACTTTTTGTTTTTACAAAATGAGCTTTTGATACCAAGGGTCTCATGTCTCTATCTCCTGCATGGGTCATTTTGGGTGACTCCTCTTGAGTCTCTTGTTCCTCTTGGATTTGCTCATTCGTGTCCTCTTCAGTGGTTTCTGGCATATCAGTGCAGTATCTCCACAGATAATATTTTCTTTTCAACCTTTTGTGGACATAGAAGCTCACTTGATGCTACATGACCCTGGATGACTCTCTTCCTTCAACTAACCCAAACTTGCATCTTTAGAGTCCTCCTAGGCCTGGAAGTCAGTTTGTGGGCTTATTCTGCTTACATATATGGTTTTCCATGTCTATGGTGAGTGTAGTACAGGTGACCCTTAGTGTTGGCTTTGTGCCTAATGTCAAATAATCCTACAATCATGCCTTTCCAATGACTCTATTCTGGTGGGATGTAGTTATGGATAATTGATCCATTTCTGACAGCTGGTCTCCTGCTGTCATTAGTTGTGGTAACCCATATTGCACTGCCTCTCAGTGTGGGACCTAATTCCAGATGATTGTGCCTGATAATAAAGGTTCACAACCTCTCCAGTGTTCTCTTGACTTGAGTTCCTCCTACTTCTTTAATCTTATCGACACGGGTCAAAGGCCACGTCATCACAGTTGTTGACTCGCATTCCAAATTTTATTGAACTAATAGTTTATTAATATCAAATTGGTGTACTTTGGTGACAG